AACTTCTTCAATATTTTATTTGTCAAGCTTTTGAAAACTCCAAGATTACTACTAATTTCCTGGCACTAATATTTGGATTTTCAACAGCAGACGCCACAACTTTAAACTAAATATTATCGTTGTTACTTTCATGTCTCCTGGTAGTTTTCTCATAATTCGCATTTGCTGTTCATTCAAACCTTTCCTTCACATTTTCAAAACAGTGGGAATATCTGTAAATTTGGATTATTTGCTTTGTAAATACGTGCTGCTAGCAAACATTTCCCATAATTTGCTAATTCTTAATCACTTGTAGCGATTTTATGGTTTTTTGATTTTATTTACAAATAAATGGTAACTTTCCATAAATACTTATTTATTAAACTCAAATATCTAAATTTTTCAGTTATTAATTTTTATTTTAAATAGTGTAGCTAGACAACTAATAAATTTAATAAAAGTAAATACCTTTTACGTGAAATTTGAGGGTCACTTTATTAAATATTCCCTATATCTAGGAGTTATAGGTTTTGAGATATGAAAGAAAAAAAATTGAGGATGCGAGGGTCCGCGGGGATGCTAGTAACTCTTTTCAGGAGCGTGATATCAACTGGATGTTTGGTACCTGTAAAGGGCATATGTAACACTAAAATATGGTATACCAACAAATTAAAACATTTAATACTAAGTGTTTCATTTTTGCTGTTACATTTTGATAACTTCAAACATCTATAATTTTGTTAACTTAAATGGAACACCCTATATTTTTTACTCTGTCGTATGCAGATTGCAATTTCCTTTCAGGCCATATAAGCATTGTTAGGGTTGCCACTACTTTTAGAGATATTTGCAGTTTTCTATTTTTTGGACACTTTTTCCCGTATCAGACCTGTTGTCAAATTGGCCATGACCAGACATTCCAAAACAATTAGAATAACTTGACATTTGTCAAGTTTAGTCAAATTATTGTTATGTCTGTAACGGTTTTTGTTGAAAATTGAAATAAAAATACCTGGGAATCGTTTAAATTATACTTATGAGGATTATTTTAATTTGTTTGTTATTTATGGACAGAAACAGTGCAGATTCTCTACATGTTCTTGAAATTACTTTTTCCACATTTTCCATAAATAACAATCAAATTAGAATAACCCTCAATAGTATAATTTATACGATCCCCAGGCATTTTTATTAAAATTTTTGGAAAAAACTATTCAGACACAACAATAATTTGGCACCTTACTTGACAAATGTCATTTTATTTCAACTGATTTTGGAGTGTTTCTGGTTATGGCCAATTTGAAAGCAGGCCTCATACGAGAAAAATTGTCCAAAAAATAGAAAATTGAAAATATCTCTAAAAGTAGTAACGGCAATCATAACAATGATTATATGGCTTGAAAGGAAATACCAATATACATACGACAGTGTAAAAAAATATAGGGTGTTATATTAAGTTAACAAAGTTAGATGTTTGAATTTATCAAAATGTAACAGCAAAAATGAAACACCTAGTATTAAATATGGGCTATTTGCCCCGACCGGCATTGAATTATACTCACAACACCTAGTGGAACAGCTAGGATCGTTCGTCGGTTTAACCCATCAGGCCACAGACCGGTTTCGGACTTATTTGTCCTCATCAGTGTGTCATAGGTGAGACAACCGACGAACGATCCAGCTGTTATAATGTCGCATGCTCACGACCAAAAGGTACATTGTACGGGGAACGCAAATGGCTAAATCTGCACGACAGATAGAGCCATTTGAATTCCGCGTACAATTTTGGCACATTTATTTGAACTATTATGGTGTATTATTTCTTAAAGCTTTAGTCAAATCGATATACTGAGTGATAGTTTTCTCCGGTTACCTCTTTCTTTTGGAGGTCAAGACCAAAAAGTTTTTATTTAACTTTTTATCGCAGATCATATTTATTTATCGTCGTGAATATGCAGTCAAACGTTGTCGGTGAAATGTGCGGACACCCTGTATCTTTGCTTCGACAGTTTGCATATTTTGATACAGTTACTAGCAACGCACAATAGTCCAGTCATTATAGACATGGAACAGCCTGTTTCGGGAAAAAATACTATTAGAAGTTTCTCTGCGGAATATTGTTCGGAAACGTGTTATAAACAAAATATCAGAAAATCAACTCGAGGCTAGTTGGGAAACTTTGTTTAAACAATGGTCAAAGTTATGGAAAAGTGGTTTTTTGACTCGCGTAAAAAAACTATAATTCATAGCGAAAAAAAAGGTTATACAAAAAAGGTAGGTATTAAATAAGCATATAAAATGAGACAAGTCTGATTAAATTCCGATAATTTGTTTATGCGCAAGAGCTCAAAAATGGTCGAAAATGGCCGTTTTTTTCAATTGCTAATAATTAATGCAATTTTCATCGCAGACACTTGTAATTCAGGATTTTTGAGGCTTGTTATACCCTTAATAAGTGGTAAAAATTCAACCCGAAGGCTTCATTGGTTTGGCGTTGGCGGAATTTGTTATCTAAGAAGATGCTATTTTCAATTCATTTTTCCCAAGCTCACAGGCATTGTAGAGTTTCGATCATTAGTTGTTTTTGTACCTAAATAGTTGTATTGACATTATGCATTTACTGAGTATTTAATTTTTCAAATTTAATTTGTTTAAAAATGTCTTTGAAAAAATGTTAATATTTATTGAATTGTTAAGATAGGTAATTATTATAAAATGAAATAGTAACCTCTATAGTTTAGTTAGTACTATTTTTCTTCGAATTTAAAAAAAAAATCGTTGTTTTAAGTTGATTAGAAGCTTAGATGCCGCTATCTTCTTTTTTGCAATTAAATAGTTGAATTCACCTTAATGTTAATGTAGGACATCAAAATATAGCTCTTAATGTATACTCTCTCCAAATTTCGGCTCTTAATATTAATAATTAAGGTCACTGCGATTAAATAAATAAAAAAAATTATCTCAGCTTCTAATCAACTTACAACAACGATTTTTTTTTTAAATTCGAAGAAAACTAAAGTAAAGAGGTTACTATTTTATTTTATAATAATTACCTATCTTAACAATTTAATAAATATTAACATTTTTTCAGTCATTTTTAAACAAATTAAATTTGAAAAATTAAATTCTCAGTAAATGCATATGTCAATACAACTATTTAGGTACAAAAACAACTAATGATCGAAACTCTACAACGCCTTTGAGCTTGGGAAAAATCAATCGAAAATAGCATCTTCTTAGATGACAAATTCCGCCAACGCCAAATTAATGAAGCTTTCGGGCTGAAATTTTTACCACTTATTAAGGGTGCAAAGACCTTCAAAAATTGCATTAATTTATTAGCAATTGAAAAAAACGGCCATTTTCGACCATTTTTGAGCTCTTGCGCATAAACAAATTATCGGAATTTAATCGGACTTGTCTTATTTTACAGATTTATTTAATATCTACCTTTTTTGTATAAACCTTTTTTCTCTATGAATAACAGTTTTTTTACGCGAGTCAAAATACCACTTTTCCATAACTTTGACCATTGTTTAAACAAAGTTTCCCAACTAATCTCGAGTTGATTTTTTGATATTTTGTTTATAACACGTTTCCGAACAATATTCCGCAAAAAAACGGATACGGATAAAATCATGTAGAAGCCAAAACCATTGAGGTTACAATAGTTGTAACAGAATAGAATTATTTGTATAGTAACAATGAAACAAAATGTCGACTGTTATGTTTCCTGTGAAAAAAATACTACTGCCCTTTTTCTGTCGCTCCTAGCGATGCCGATTAAGAATACCTTTAGTCGTTGAAGAGTAGGAAGAAAAAAATACCTGATGGTACAATGGGCGGCAGTCAAGACACGATTGGTGGAGATCAGGGAACCACCGCACAAACTGGCTCCGTTGATGAGTAGGGCCGCTTGATATGGAACAGAATTGCGGCTTACTTCACTACCACCGATGATCCTGCCTTCCGGGAGAGTGGATTCGTCTATGGGATTCTCTGGTTCCAGATAGATGTTGTTTGGGACGATTTTTGACAGGTCGAGCTGAAAGATTACCATACGCTTACTTCATTCCTCTTAATAAACGTTTTTTTTTTGTCAAGTCCAAAGTAAAAAGTCATCCGAAATTTAATAAAATAAATAAAAAAAAGTTGAAATTAAAAAAATATTTCTTACCTCCTCAAGCGCCTCAAAAGGGACATCTGCGGGCATAGCCACAGCGCAGGAGACGACAGCCAAGAAACACACCGCGAACTTCATCTTCGGAGGTACCACTGGACACAGATGCAGGCCTCTAGGCCGGTTACATTTTTATACCTCTTGATCGAACTTTATCCGAGTTCGAAATATTTTTTATCTATGATTTAATAATACCCATGTAACTTTGTCGGACTTAAAGTAAATCCTCATCACCGGTGTTTGTTTAAAATTTTCAAGTATAATAATTCTACTGTCAGTCCGCTGAAAGATGTTCCTTAAGTGGTATTAGCAAATATTTATTTATAGGTTTTCGACGTAACCCGCAATTTTTGAAAATTTTAGTTAAAAGTAAATACACAAACGAATTCGATACCTGAAACTGCATTTCCAGAAAAGGGATTTTCTTTTCCTGCAGAAAAATTTCATTTAAAAAATGTACGATGTTGTAGAAGAAAGTAAAAAAGCTAGAAGTTTTGAACACGTCTGTTGTTAAAAAAATATGCATTGTTGGAAACTAGAAAGTTCAAGTTAGGTAGTGTTTGTATTTATATTGACAAAAGATGACGGTATCATACTAAGAAAGATCATTGAAGTTGATTGAATTTTTGAGAAAAAAATGAGAAAACTTTCAGCCTTTGACTTTATAGTGTAGTCAAGATAGCTTAAAATTACGCATTATTTCGAAATAATTATGGGAAGCATGGATTTTCCTAAAACCTTTTGAAATTACTTGGAGATAAGTATTAGATAAAAGTTATAACGAATAAATTCATTACTTTTTAAATTGAGAAGTTTTCGAAAAAATCCCCTGGCACGTCGATTTTGTTTTTAAAAAATGCACTTTTTAGTTTAGTTTAGTTTTAGTTTTAGTTTAGTTTAGTTTATTGGTGCTAGGTATACAAAAGTATTTACACAAGTCAAAAAACAAAAAAGGGGAAACATAGAGTCCTATAGTAAGAGTAAGATTAAAATCTAACGTCTAAAAATACAAAATCAAAATGTAAAACACACAAAATAGATACAATACAAACATTAACATAAATAGTCAAACGTAAAAATACAGTAAAGACTGACAATTAGAATACATAGATGCAACATATTAAGATAAATAAAGCAACAAATAACTAAAACAAGAATAGACCGGAAACAGATGGGATGCATCTACTGCATATTTGTATTTAAAAATTCATCTATGCTATAGAAAGCATGTCTTAATAAAAATTGTTTCACGTTACGCTTAAAACTAATAAAATTTAAAGTTTTTATTTCATGTGGTAAAACGTTATACAATTTAATACCCCAGTATGCTGTTCCATTTCTTGTTCTACCAAGCCTCAGGTACGTATTGTTAAGCATGTCTTTATATCTAGTACCGTGACAGTGAATTTCACTACGAGCTGGATACATTACGATATGACTCTTTACATACAGCAAACACTGTAATATATATATATACGCAAGGGAGTGTTAGAATTTTCAACAAAATAAATTGCTGTCTACAGTCATCTCTGTATTTAAGTCCTGATATTATTCTTATAGCTTTTCTTTGCAAGCTGAATACACTACAAGCTGAAGTAGCATGACCCCATATTAGTATGGCATAAGATAAAACAGAATGAATGAGGCCATGGTATGCTGTAACCAAAGTTGGTACTGATACTTGATGAGTCAAATTACGTAGCAAATACAGGTTTTTTGATAATTTGTTGCAAACATGCGTTGTATGGTGATTCCATAATAGCTTAGGGTCTAGATATACTCCCAGAAATTTGACAGATTTCGGATTTTCCAAGAGATCAATATCCCGCAAACTAAATATCATGGTTTCTGTCTTAGCTCTATTTAGGCTTAGATGATTCGAAAGAAACCAATCCTGCATCATTAACTCGGCTTGTTTGGTTCGATCTAGGAGCTCGGTCAGTTCAAGCCCTTGACCCGTGATATTAGTGTCATCTGCAAACTGAATAGTTAACAAAGAATTATCAATGGAACGTGACAAATCATTCACGTAAATCAGGAATAGTACAGGCCCAAGCACAGACCCCTGTGGTACTCCTGCACTAAGAGTGAGATAAGTAGACCTGTCATTGTTTTGGGTTACATATTGTTGCCTATTGGTAAGATATGATGTTATTAAATCGGTACTCTGAATTGTAAAGCCATAGTATTGCAATTTATTTGTAAGTTTCATAGGACACACAGACAAAAGCTTTGGTAAGGTCTAAAAATTGTGAACACATAAATTGTCTTTGCTCAAAGCCAGAATTTATAACACTAGTCAGTTTCTCAATGGCTAGAGTTGTTGAAAGACTGTTTCTGAAACCAAATTGATTATTATTAAAAAGATTTTCTCTCTCGAAATAATGGACTATCTGATTCTTTAAGATACTTTCAAAGATCTTTGCAAAATAGGGGATGACAGAAATGGGTCTGTAGTTAGATGGATCATTATAGTTCCCTTTTTTGTATATTGGGACTACCTTAGAAATTTTTAAGCAATTAGGAAATACATTTTGAGAGATACTGATATTAATTAAGGCTGATAGAGGTTTTAAAATTGCAGGTTGTATTGATTTAATTATTTCAGTACATATGTCATAAACATCCTTTGATTTTTTATTTTTTAAGTTATTGCATGCTTTACAATTTCTGTGGAGACCATAGAGAAGTTGAACACGCTATTCGTATAATAGTTCATATAATCCGTATATACCGAGTTACTGGCTGGAAGTTCGTCAATAATATTTGCGGCTACATTTACAAAATATGTGTTAAAATCATCAGATAAAATTTTATTTGTCGGTTCTTTTGTTTTACTACCATTTACAATTTTCCACATAGCCTGAGTTGGATTGTTGTGGGTGGATATATAGTTATCATGAGCCAGCTTTTTTTTATTACGTAATTCGTTCACATAACGTGATTTATAATATCTGACGAGTGCATTACTATTTTCCGATGGATGCAACTTGACATTTTCTTGAAGAAAGTGTAGTTGGTTTCTCATCACTCGAAGTTCATCGGTAAACCAATTAATTTTTGGTGAATGATGGTTGTTGTTAACCAACTTAGTTCTTATTGGAATTTTTGACGACTTTGTTCGAGATATGACGTCATCGATAATTTTTTTAAATAGCAACCCCCAATTTTGACCATGCCATTTGAAAGAGTGTGTCATCCTACATACACAGGTCATGAAAAATTATTGTGTTACATAATAAAAATTTCAAGAAAATAATGTTTGAAGATTTTAAAATTTAATTTTCACAATACTGAAAATGATAATGATTATGTAAAAATCGACTAAATTAAATGTTCAAATTGTGCACCGTTGTCTGCTTGACAGTAGCCAAGACGATTAGTAAATTCTTTTTGGACAATATCATTAACTTCAGGAGGTGTACGATGTATCTCGTGACGAATTTTTGCTTTTAAATCTTCTAAATTAACCGGTCTAGTAACGTATACTTTGCTTTTTAAGTATCCCCACAAGAAATAATTTAGGGGTGTCAAATCAGGCGATCTGGCTGCCCACTCAATCGGCCCCCTTCTCCCTATCCAACGATTCGGGAACAGCTCATCTAAATAAGCACGGACAGGTGTTGCATAATGGGGAGGTGCACCAATTAGTCGATTTTTACATAATCATTATCATTTTCAGTATTGTGAAAATTAAATTTTAAAATCTTCAAACATTATTTTCTTGAAATTTTTGTTATGTAACACCATAATTTTTCATGATCTGTGTATGTAGAATGACAGGCTCTTTCAAATGGCATGGTCAAAATTGGGGGTTGCTATTAAAAAAAATTGTCGATGACGTCATATTTCGAACAACGATGACGTCACAAATATGGGTCGTATGCCAAAACGTGCCTTTTTTAAAAACAAAATCGACGTGTCAGGGGATTTTTTCGAAAACTTCTCAATTTAAAAAATAATGAATTTATTCATTCGTTACTTTTCGAAAGCACCCTGTATATTAGACTCATATCTTTGTCTACATCAATAAGAGAATGTATATTCACAATTTCAGATACAGCATATATGTTTTAAAAATGAATATTAAATCAATTAATCAAAAAACATTATTTTTTTGTTGTTATAACAATTTTCCACTTACTATAAATAAAAAAAATATTTTTTGCTGGATTTACTTTCTTTAAGGACTTAACTTAATTCTATGATGGTTTATTAAACAAAAAAAAAATGTTTGTACATTATTAAACTTTATTTAACAATAAATTCCACGGATTTTTCATGAAATATTTTAATTTTTTGTTATTTTTTGTTTTTCAACTATTATTTCAATTTTTTAAGAAAAATAAAATGCACCATCTTAAAGTAGAGATTTTAAGCTTTAAAAAGTGCTCTTATAAAGTTTCAATATCACGTTTACAACTTTTCGATCTATAAGTATGGCCTAAAAAGTTAAATTTGTGATTTTTTTAAATTATTGAATAGGGGTTCAATATTTTTCACTGTTTCAATCGTCATTTGAAGAGTAATCTGTGAAAGTTACAGATATGTATTTTAAAAATTAAAAGAGTGACAGCTATTTTATTATTATTGTGGAAAATTATAAAATGACGTAACTTTGTATACGTACTATATATTTTTTTTCTCAAGTTTAAAGACATAAAATTTTGATAGCCGGATGACTCTTCTTTCACTTAAATTTTTGTAAGGTCGATTTGATCAATTAAATCAAAAGTTATAATAAATTTAGTGTAGCGCGCTCTTCGAGAGCTATACTTGTAGGCCAGTCATTATAGCTTTTTTTCGGGAAAAAAATACTATTAGAAGTTTCTTTGCGGAATATTGTTCCGAAACGTGTTATAAATAAAATATCAAAAAATCAACTCGAGACTAGTTGGGAAACTTTGTTAAAACAATGGTCAAAATGATGGAAAAGTGGTTTTTTGACTCGCGTAATAAAACTGTTATTCATAGAGAAAAAAGGTTTATACAAAAAAGGTAGGTATTAAATAAATCTGTAAAATAAGACAAGTCCGATTAAATTCCGATAATTTGTTTATGCGCAAGAGCTCAAAAATGGTCGAAATTGTCCGCTTTTTTCAATTGCTAATAATTAATGCAATTTTCATCGCAGACACTTGTAATTCAGGATTTTTGAAGCTTTTTGCACC